CCGATAGATGGCCGAGAGTTCGATGTGTATTGTGATGCGTCAAGACGAGGATTGGGGTGCGTGTTGATGCAAAATGGAAGGGTGATAGCATATGCTTCGAGGCAGCTTAAATCGCATGAAGAGAACTATCCAACTCACGACTTGGAAATGGGGGCTGTCATGTTTGCTCTCAAGATATGGCGACATTACCTTTACGGAGTTCATTGCAAGATTTACACCGATCATAAGAGTTTGAAATACATATTCACTCAAAGAGAGTTCAATCTGAGACAACGGAGGTGGTTGGAATTAGTAAAGGACTATGACTTGGATATTTTATATCAGGAAGGCAAGGCGAATGTGGTTGCTGATGCTTTGAGTCGGAAGTCAAGTCATGACGTATGTTCGATGACATTACCCATAGAGTTGTGTCATAAGTTCGAGAATCTATAAATTGAGGTAGTGGGTCCTAAGATGATTGAAGGATATATAGGTGCCTTGTCAATTGAGCCCGAGATTTTGAGGGAGATTCGGGAGGCTCAGGTTGATGACGATGATTTACTCAACTTAGCGATAAAGGTGCAACAAGGTGAAATAAGCGACTTCCATGTTGGTCGGGATGGAAGCCTAAGATTTCGAGACAGATGATGTGTGCCCAAGGATCAGTTGGATATTAAGGAAAGGATACTTAAAGAAGCTCATAGTTCTCCATATTCAGTGCATCCCGGTTGCGATAAGATGTATAAAGATTTGAAAGGACATTTTTGGTGGCGCGGTATGAAAAGGGACATTGCAGAGTATGTCGCCAAGTGTTTGAATTGCCAAAAGGTCAAGGCGGAGCATAAGAGACCTATGGGTTTGTTGAGACCGTTGGAAGTTCCGGAATGGAAGTGGGACTCAAATTGCTATGGATTTTGTGACCGGATTACCAAAGTCGAGATCGAGCGCGGATGCCATTTGGGTAGTTGTTAATCGATTGACTAAGGCAGCAGTTTTCATCTCGATAAACATGACTTGGAGCATGCAGAAGTTGGCAAGGTTGTATATCCAGCACTTGGTGAAGAGGTATGGAGTTCCGGAGGTGATTGTCTCGGACCGCGACCCCCGTTTTCAGTCGCATTTTTGGCAAAAGCTTCAGAAAGAGTTCGGTACTCGGTTAAGGATGAGTACGGCCTTTCATCCGATGACCGATGGGCAAATTGAACGAACCATTTAGATTTTGGAAGATATGTTGCGAGCTTGTGCATTGGATTCTCAAGGCCGATGGGAGGATCAGTTGGCTCTAGTGGAGTTCTCCTACAATAATAGCCATCAAGCGACCATTGGGATGGCACCCTTTGAGGCTTTGTATGGGAGGAAGTGTAGAACGCCATTGTGTTGGAGTGACCTAAGCGAAAGGGTTGTATTGGGGCCCGAAATGATTGAGGAGATGATGAATCAGATTCGTAACATCAAGGCTAAGATGAAAGCCGCCCAAGATCGCCAGAAGAGTTATGCCGACCTTGCTCGGAGGGATGGGCATTTTAAGGTGGGTGATCATGTATTACTTAAGGTCTCACCGACGAAGGGTGTGAGGAGATTTGGTATTAAGGAAAAGTTGAGCCCGAGGTATGTAGGGCCGTACGAGATCATCGAAAGGATTGGAGAGGTGGCCTACAGGTTGGCCTTGCCGGAGACATTGAAAAGGGTTCACGATGTTTTTCATGTCTCTCAATTGAGGAGATACGTGGCTGACCCATCTCATATACTTCAGCTGGAAGTCTTGGATCTTCAGGAGGATTTGGTGTACTCAGAGCAACCTATTCAGATTGTGGCTTTCAAAGTTAGATCGACGCGGAACCGTGAGATAAGGATGGTGAAGGTAGTGTGGTCGCGGCATGGGGTTGAAGAAGCGACATGGGAAACCGAGCAAGAAATGCGAGGAAAGTAATCAGGGTTGTTTGAGGTAGCTCCGGGCGTGCAGATCGATTTCGAGGACAAAATGTCCTAAGGGGGGAAAGATGTAATACCCCGTAAAATAATCGCCGGAAGTTTGCCGGAGTCGGACAAATTTCATTTTGGGCATAATTTATTTTGGTCTTTTAGTGTAATAAATTAAAGAGTAGGGTTTAAATTAGAAGTAAAATTTGAGTTTGGGCCAAAGTAGAATAAAATAATTAATAAAGGACTAAGTATGTTATGTTGAATAAAAGAATAATAAAAAAAAAAGGAGCAGCAGCAGCCAGCACGCCCGCTAGCGCCGCCGCCAGCCCCCTGCTCTCCCTTGGAGTTCTTATTCTCCAAAATTCTTCCTTTTGGTCTCTTCTCTTGAGGTAAGTGGGATTAATCTTAGATAGATTGATATGTTCTAATCCCTAAACCCTTTTATTGATATATTTTTCAATATTCTTGTCAAATGGGTTTGCCCCAAAAGTGTTAGGTTTTGCCAATTTCTTCTAGAAAGTTGATTATAAGGCATAGCCTTCCACCTCTGTGCCTTGCAAACACGTGAGGGTATACCGGTATTTTAGGATAACTAGCTAACCTTGATCTAGATCCCGAAGGGGCTAGGTCGAGGGATCGAGATGGCGGGTTCCCTTTTAGGGTGATTCCGAGGTGCCCGTCATTCACGATGGAAAGGTCTTTAGACCGTCATCCGTGATGGAGGGATGGATTGCGTACAATCCCCTCTTAGTATGTTATATTGGAGACAAGAGGGTTGTGGGCCGTATGGCGCCCCTCGCCAACTAATAATTAATTGATTTACGTGTACTTTGGATTTCGAACCCTTATGTACACATTGTGGAGTTTCCTTTGAGGGTTATGACCCTATGTTTGTTATGTGAAATTATGTGACGTGTCATACGAAGTAATAAGGTTTGAAAACCGGGTCGACCCGGCCCTGATTAAGGCCTAGTGGAGTTTTCTTCGTGATGTGCTTATCGCTATTATTTGAGAATGAAAAGGAGGTATAAGAGAGGCGCTAAAAGACTCGTGTGTGTGAGTTCCCCTTATGTGATACGTGTCATTTTATTCGACTATCTTCTTCAAATGATTTTGTGGCATTATATCGTATTAATTTATCTTCGATTAATTACGCTTACTCAACCGTTGTGTTGACCCCCTCCTTACGATTCTTTTTGTAGGTGATCATGCTTCCGTTATGCCTAAGTGATGCATTCACGTCATATGATCCATCGAGGGAAATGAGAACTACCTTACCTTCTAAAATGTTTTGAAATTCATTGATTGTGTTTAAAGACTAATGCATTTTGAACTATTTCCAATTTATGTTTTTTATTCAAACTTTATTTACTTAATTGATAAGCCGGTGCGCTTTAATTCTAAGTTCCTATTAGTTGTTGGTATTTATTATTTAAGCCTTAGCGCCACAACGTAGGACTCGTTGGTTGATGAACGAGCCTTCTAGTGTGGCGTGGCGGTGACGCTCCGGTTTGAGCCGGCCGGGGTAATACAAAAATATTATACCTATTGGGATGGACATATTATTCGAATTTTTATTTGAAAAATAAAGTAAGATTATAACGAACTTGTTGAGTTTTAATATTCCACTTTTTGGTTGGTTAAATGTTGACCATTTGAATGCTTTGAGGTTAATAGCATGTTGGGTATGGGGTCAAATTGGTGATTAAAACTATCCGTCGAGTCCGATCAACTTGTCAATCGTTTGGATGATAAGGTATAGCCTTCCACCTCTCTGTCTTGCAAACACGTGAGGGTATACCGGTATTTTAAGATAACTAGCTAACCTCGAACTAGAACCTGAATGTGCTAGGTCGAGGGATCTAGACGGCGTGTTCCTTTTTGGGTGATTCCGAGGTGCCTGTCATTCACGATGAAAAAATTTTTAGACCGTCATCCGTGATAGAGGAATGAATTGCGTACAATCCCATCTTGGTATGTTATATTGGAGACTAGAGGGTTGTGGGCCGTTTGGCGCCCCTCGCAAACTAATAAATAAATTGACTTAGATGTACATTTGGACTCGAACCCTTATGTACATATTGTGGAGCTTTTCTTGAGGGTTGTGACTCTATGCTTATTATGTGTAACTATGTGACGTGTCATACGAAGTAATAAGGTTAGAAAACCGGGTCGAACCGGCCCTGATTAAGGCCTAGCGGAGTTTTCTTCGTAATGTGTTCATCACAATTACTTGAGAATGAAAGGGAGAGAGTTATCCTTATGTGATATGTAACATCTTATTCGAATTATCTTCTTCAAATGGTTTTGTGGCATTATCAACCATTGTGTTGACCTTCTTCTTACAACCTTTTCGTAGGAGATGATGCTTTTGTTATATCTAAATGATACATCTAAATCATATGATCTATCAGGGAGCAAACTATAACTACTTTATCTTCTAGAATGCTTTTGAAATTTATTAATTATGTTTAAGGACTTGTGTCATTTGAACTATTTCTAATTTATATTTTTTACTCGAACTGAACTTATTTAATTGATAAGCCGGTGCGCATTAATTTTAGATCTCTATTTAGTTGTTTGTAGTCAATATTTTAGCCTTAGCGCCACAATGTAGGACTAGTTGGTTGATGAACGAGTCTTCCGGTGTGGCGTGGCGGTGATACTCTAGTTTGAGCAGCCGGGGAGTTACACATACATACCAGTCATTCCTGCATTGCTTTTGCAACTCTTTCTTCTCGTTTTTATGATTGTTCTTTTATTCTCTAGCACTATGTAGCCTTCTATTATCACTCTTCCAAACACCTTCGGCACCAAATATAACTTCCGTATGATGCGCCCAATTTTCCCAATTGTGTTTGGTTAGTTCAGGATATTGGAAAGAAAAAGTGCTTGAATTTGTTGCAATCCTCAAAGAGCAATAACCAGACAAGCCGAATAAGACTCTAATACCTCTTTATTAGAAAGGGAAGGGAGAACATCGAACAAGCTAGGAACACAAGTTTAATAGAAGGAAGAAGAACAACACTACAATGGAACCCACTTTGAATTTCTACAACTATTTATATTATAGAATTCTACCTACCACACAATAAATATATTTGAAATACTCAACACTAATTACATAATATTCCATACAAATCATGATGGAAAATTATTTCACATATAAACACTCGAAATTCGTTAAAATAAATACTTCATTGCGAATTAAAAATAGAATTGGTAGTCAAATTTATTTTCAGGAATAATAACTCAAGTTTGTATTCTGAACAAGATGTATGCCTTACTTTTAAGATACTCAAACTTGGTATGAGGTAATCCATGTGGTTGATCCTGAAAATGAAGATCAAGCAAGAGAGCTCTTCTCTTTCTGCTGTTGATATAGTTCCTCTCGCATTCTCCTTATCTCTGCCTCCTTCTCCATTCTCTCCTTCTACATCCCACAACAACATTGCCGGAGACAAGCAAATTCCATTTTAGCAAACAATGAGATTGATTAATTACCAATCATTGCCTTTACAGAGACTCGAAGTAGAAAAGAAGCTAAAACAACTCAGCCAAGCCATGGTGATATAACACTATCCCACCAACCATGGTAATTAGAGCTTGATATTAGATAAACGACACTTCCATGGAAGACTTGTAAGATCAGGGAGAATTTAAAACTCAAGAATATGTCCTCGAATTATTTGAAAGTAGAACGTATTATGGGTTAATTCTTTGTTGCATAAGCTAAATGGTGATTATTCTATATCATCCATTCGAATATGGACAAACAAAATAAGTAGATTCAAAAGAACTATAACTTGAGCTCGTTTCTAATAGATTTACAGAGTTGGGAGATTAGTTCTAAGAGAGTGTATGCAGAAAGTCTTGTTTTCTATTTGAACACAGATTTCATTTTTAAAGGGAACAGAAACAAAAAGAAAAAACCAAAGAAGAACCCTTCAATTAAAGCAAAGACTTTGAGGATTATGAAACTAGTTCGATGAAACATGAATATTCAATTGAAAAACAAACAAATTAATGTGCTATTTGACCCAAATAAAATCCACAAATCGAAAAACCTAAAGCTCCCACACCAACAGAAAACGAGATACCCTAGCAACCCTAGCTACTATGCAATGTGACTTAACTAAATCGATACGCAGCCAACAGAGTACATCTCATATTGATCCAAATAGGAACTCTAGATCCCCAATTAGAGTCCAAATATGAATCACGCCTTTCTGATTTGCACACTAACTGATGGATGAACATAAAATCGAAAACCAGCAAGTACAAAAGCAAACGCATAAATCGAACTTCAGCGACCATGAATTGTTTATACATACCTTTTCGTCCTGGTGAAGAGCAATCCAGACGTGGACTTTATCCATGGTTTGCCAGAAGAGAAAGGCGCCAAAAGTCATTCCAAAGAAAGTGGCCACTCTCACCATTGTCGCCGTGTCAATAAATCCCTCGATGAATTTGTTCCGAGGAGGAAACCTAAGCTCCGACTGAACTCGCCGTTAGTCTCTGCACTTTGTGACCCACGACACAGCATATGGCTAAATATAATTAGCTTAAAAAATAACTAAAACAGTTTGAATAATTTTTTATTAAAGCGGCCTTTTGAAAAATACCACTCCCTCACTCCAATGGACTGGTATTTTAGCTAAAAGAGTTTAATTATTTAATAATATTGAATAACTTAATTTTTTATTTTTGATCTCATTTAAAAATAATTACTAAAATTAGTTTCATATAAAAAAGAAATTTTTATTTTTTTTCTCATCATTAAAATTATAATGAAATATGTTGATATGAACTTAACGACAATTGACGTGATATATAATTTAGAACAAACACGATCATGTTAATTATTGGACTTAACGGAAACTGACGCGACATATAATTTAGAATAAACACGGCCGTGTTAACTATAACACGGGCGTATTATTTTAATAAAAAATTATTGTCATATTTATACAAACACGGACGTGCTAAAAAAAATATGCGTCCGTATTCAGTATCAATTTACACCTCTTAAAGAAATTCAAATTGGGATTGAAAAAGATAATGATGATAATGCGACATTGAATTTGATAATGTATATCATATTCTTATTGTATTTGATAAGATATATCTATACATTGTTATTTATTTTAACTTATTTTACATAATAATTTAAATATTTTTTTTTGTATTTTATACTATTATATATATATAAAAAAATATTTTTTATAAAATGATACTATATTAGTTATATTTTTATGAGAAATTAATTTTTAAAATACTTTTGACTTATTTTCTAATATTTAATATTCTTACACTTAGTATTTATTTATTGATTATATTATTTTCTATTAATTTTTTAAAAAATATATAAGGCAAAAAAAATCAGTTAAAAGTATTTCAAAAATGGGAGAGTTGGATTAAAATTTATATCAGAGAATGTAGTTGCAATTCAGTCCTATTGTAAATTAATTGGGCTGCAGTCCCTACTTTAGGTATGTTATAACCCATTTTTTTGTATTTTTCCACTCAATTGTTGTTGTATATGCAACGTGTACTTACGATTGTTTAATAAATACTTCCAAATTTTATAATATATGCGTACATTATATCCCGCTCTACCCCTATTATAAGCTTAGATACTTCCATTTAAATAACGTATACCTTCTTTTGTGATTTTTTTTTTTTTAAAAAAAAGAAAACGACCCATGGTTTAAGAGTTGAGGCATGAAACCTCTCATAATTCTCCTCACTCCCCTTTTAAACCCTAGTTCTTCCATATTAAGGCAAATCGACGCTCGTGAACTTCCTAGCGATCAAGTAGTAACGCATCCGTCCATCAAAATGGTGAGGAGAACATCGAACCCGCCTCGATCCCCGAAGATAAGTTCAAAGAAGTAAGTTTCTGGTCGAAGTCTTTTTCGATTTCTGATTTTGTGGACAATCGAATTTTATACCGTAGTTTCTTCGATTGTTTGGGGTATAAGCCTTGGTCCCCTGTTTGTATGCCACGGTTCGGTGATGAGAAGCCTTGGGTGGTCGGTGTTGTATTTGTTCACCGGATTTGAAATTGTTCGAATTTTTTACCAGAAAACCCGGTTCGGTGTTTAATATTGGCACCGATTTTGGGTGATTTTATCTGTTTTATCTTTGATTTTTGTTAAGTTTGGAGATGTATATTTTGTTTAGTTATTCGAAGTTGCATATTTTAGTTTTTTCTGTTTGATTGTTTGGTAATTAGTCATATTTGTGGGTTGGCAAATGCGGTATTATTATGTACCACGAGTTTTATTTGTTTGATCTAATTTGCTAAGTAATATACCTGTAGGGGACTATTGTATACTCGGAATGTATTTTTATGTACTCTTGATAAATTGTGATAAACTTTTAACTAAATTTGAGATTTGAATAATGTGGACTGATGGTATTTACTTACAAGCCGGGGAAGGAATACAAATCGGTAATCAGCCGCTTTGCATTACCGTTCCACGAAAAACTCAAGCAACACATGTTGGATGAACACATCAAAGCCATCAAAATGACTCCGTTCAGGCATTTTTTGGACTGCCCGAAGATAAAGTTTCCATGGCACCGCCTTCTTGCCCTTGTTAATAACTTTAGTTCGGAGTCTACGTCGTTCAAGATCGGAGCTGACATTGACCTGCCATTTGAAGCTGAGGAATATTTTGTAGTCTTGGGACTATATGCGAAGGGAGTCTACGTGACAGACAACACATCCGTTGAAAGTGAATGGTTTGTTCGGATATTTGGGGGCAAGCCGCATTCTGTAACCCGTGCCGAGGTGTTGCAGAAGCTGTGTGAGGCTCTATTGAATGAGCTAGAGCCTGTATCTGTTGCGGATGTTGCCCGTCTCTTTATTTTGCTTGTGTTTGAAAATATTTTATTTTTTTCTGCGAATTATTTTGTACCCTATTTTTGTTACCGTATGTGGATGACCTGACTGCGATTGGTGACTATGCATGGGGACCTGCAAGTCACCAATATCTATTGAAGTCTATAAACGAACTTAAGTCCGGAAAAAAAATATTTGATAGGCTGCACAGTCGGTTTTTTGGTAAGCAATGTAATATCAGTTTTTTTAATTATTCTACTTATTTTTGTATATTGCACACAATATGTCTGTTACTATTATTATTGGAAGTAATGAGATTATTATTATTTGCAGGCTTTTTAACGAAAGAGTATCAACCTTGGACAAGGCAAGGTGCCTACCGAAGGTACCGCGGCTCTTTCGGTGGCTGAATAGACTTGGTCCGATCTCAGGGGTTCATGCAGTGACTGAATTATCATCTTTGAAGAGAACAAATATTCAGGACTTTTATTGAAAAAGCATTGAAGAGAAGTTTTTTCGTGCAATCTGCCATGCTTCGGAGGTAAGTGCATTATTCAATGTTGTTACCATTGTAAATGGATAAAGTAATTTCTTATATTACATTATTAACATATGTTGTGGAAAGCAGTTCAACAAATTGCGGTATTGAAAATGAAGTTACGGAAATAAGATGTTGCAATTGCGAAACTTCCTAGTAAATTGCAAAGAGCTAGATCTGGGGTTGTCGAGAAGGACAATGAAGTTGAGTGTGAGGATGAGGGTGATGGTGACGCAGAGTATGAGGAGGAGACAATAGAGCGGATGGATGTAAAGAGAGAGAAGAAACAACTAGAGGAGGATGAAGAAGATCAGACAGACAGAGAAGGACCTGGAAGAGAAGAAGCAGACTGAAGAGGAGGAGAGTCAGGTTGAGAAGGACCTCGATGACGCAATGGAATAATGAGTCAATAATAAGAGACGATGCAAAAACAAAATGGACACTTTTTTAGGCCAGATTGATCCGATAAACGAGTCGGACGATGAAGGGGTTGGTAGCCTACAAGAGTTTAACCAACTAATGGCCATTGTACTGTATATTGCACCTCAAGATGTCAAGGTAAGTTAATTACTATAGTAAGTACATTTTATAGGTCGTAGTTGTTTGACTGTTTGCTCTATTAAAATCGTAGCCTGCCGATGAGTCTGGCAGTGAAACTTGTAGCAGGGCCGCAGATTCATTGATCGTATGTGTTGTAATGGCACGTAGGATCGGAAGAGAAATAAAAAGCCTAAATTTGTAACACCCGTATCAACACCATGAATTAAAAAAGCCAAAAAAACTGGGAGGGCTAAAGGAAAGTCAGTGGCTAATGTCATAGATGAGCAGGTACATAGTTTGATACAAATATCAGTCGTCTGGCTTAAAATACTTTGGATAGATTCTTAAATACCTAGGTTTTCTGAGTTAATACTTCTACAATAAATACAGATACCTACAGAAATATGATTATCTCCATTGTTGGTTCAGGAACCTTTTGTTGTTGGCGACGATGGAGAGTCGGTTGCTACCGTTGGAACATACAATGAAGTAAAAAAAATGATAGATATATCGCAATAATGAAAACGAATGTGGGAAGGGACCTTATCTGAGGATGTGACGAATACCATCGAACAATTTCTCGCGTCATTTGCCGTCCGGTATTGCTATTCACTATTACGGTTTTATATATTTTTCTTAATTGATGTTTTCTTATGTTTGCGGCTATCATTTTGTAGGGACAATGTATGGCAACAAGGCGTCGTGTTCATCTCGTCCGATTCGGTGCTAGAATTGTTGTTCGACCAGGCTATCAAAGGCGAGGTGATTGACGCGTACCTAAATTATTTATGCAGCACTGCATACCAGCTTCAGCACAATCCGCAAGTGCATTGTGGTTGTGTGCCATGGTTTTTATCGGTGAGTATCTTATTTGAAATTTTTACTATTAGGATTAGAAATCACACTATTATTATTGCTTTGGTTGCTTTGTTTTATTTTCAGAAAGCCGTGAACGATGCGCTATCACCACCAACCAGAGAAGCGAAAAAGCTGACCATTAATAAGGGTAACGTGCTCATGTTTGCCCAATCGCTTCAAATGAACGATGCTAGGAGATTGGCAATCATGGACAAAATCCAGTTTGGGTGCCGGTACATATTTCTACCGGTGCACACCCGGTTCTACTGACATCTCTGCATATTAGATATCGTCAATCGCATTGTACTGGAGTGTAATTCGCTGCGCGATCCCTTCGGCCATGAGAATACAAAGAAATTTATGCGTCTTTGGAGTAATAAAATTAATTGTCTTTGGATAGAACGAATTCCTTAACAAATTTTTGCATTATTTTTGCAGACACAATTTTTATCGTTGTACATGAACGCTGCACAACTATGACCTATGTTGAGCGACATGCCCGAATACGTTAGATGCCAACATCAGGGTGACACGCCCGACTGCAGACCTTTAGTCTGCATGTTAGCAGAGTGTTATGTACGGGCGGGTCCCGATGTCAATCTCGTGTGCGTCCTCGACGAGGACTTCGGCAATGTGAAGAGCTACCGGGGCACGATTGTGGCAAGGATATTGAAAGGTCCCCCCTCTAATTTGTAGACTCCGATGGAAAAAATAGGGCCTATTAACATATGTAATGAATTTGGATTAATTTACTTGCGCCGTGT